TTTATAGTTAGAGAGATGACGACCAAAATTTTTGTCTCATAGCAATACGGCCAAAACCGCCTCAAATCGATAGATACGATTATCCTGAACTCGAAAATACCAATATCAGACATTTTCCGCGTAGCGTTTGATCTGACCACAAAAACACCAGACAAAAAAAATGTCTCATAGCAATACGTCTGAAAACCTTTTTTATTAGTAAATTTTGGTTATTTGATGCGAACAAAACAATTTTCAGACGGAAATGTGAACGCATTAAATATTGAGACCGTTTTGAAAATGTTAACAAATTTTACCGATCGGTATCATGGCAATATGTCTGAAAATTGTTGGACATGATAAAATAAGTTGTCCACATGTGCAAAAAATGTATATCAGACAAAATAAGTGTAGCACCTTCTCTATCAGACAACTTTTCGATACTCAGATATTTTTGACACAGCAGAAATGGCCTCCCACGCAGTTGCTACACTTTCGACCGTTACTACACACCTAGTCGGGTTCAGAATCATACAATCTAACGATTTTATAGGGTTTTTGCCGTATTGCTATGAGACATGGTTTTGGTTGTCATCTCTCGTACTAATCCCTTTGGGGATAAAAGGCGTGATGTTATCATTTTAGAGATTAGCCAGAACAAACAGACAGACAGACAGACAAAAATTACAAAAAATACTTTTGGTGTATTTACCATATGTATGCATGTAGTAAAAAGCGATTATTTCAATAATACAAACACACACGAATTATATTTATGTTAAAATAAAATACGATGGTATTTGAATGAAACACTGGCCGAAAATGTCTAAAATAAAAAGGTTTTATTTATTTATTGTATTTAACAGGAGATGCTTTATTATGTACTTATTTGTGGGTTTAACTGTTTAATCAATCAACTATTATTATGCTATTTGCTTGCTCAGGGGTGATGGACAACACAAAAGAAAATAATGCATTTACAACAGCGCAATCATTAAGAGATTATACCTCCAGCCCGCTCACAGCAAATTCACTTAACCGACATAACTCATACAAAGAAACAAAGTCTACAACAGATTTATGTAAGTCTAATTGAATATTTGTTTGATTTATGTCGGAATACTGAAACGCTACTCAATTTTAAGTCGTGCTTAAGTATAGTTCTATCTCTACAAATTCTTTGTAAAATGACAGAAATAGAACGATATTTGAGCACGACCTAAAATTGAGTAACGTTTCAGTATTCCGGCATTATTCTGTCATGTAACTTATACCCATTATAATTATAACCGTTTTACTTCAGCTACCACCAACCTCCGCCCAAGTAACAGTGAAATATCGTTAGGTCCGCCGACATTAGGGCCAAGATCGTTATCCTTCACCAGAGCACCTACCGAGGCTTCGAGGTACTTCTTAATTAACTTTTTTTTAATAATATGAAATTGCATATTATATTCTAATATACTTATAATGTGCTTATAGGCGAAGAGTAGAGACTGTTGCTAGAGAAAGTGTAACGGTGTCTCGCAGTGTCGAAGCTCCGGAGGCTGAACCAGAGCCAGAATTTGTGCCTTTCACCACCGACAGACCCGTCGGGCTCGATCTCGATGAATTTTTGCCCGTGAGTTTCTTACGTGTCTCCAAAATGTGTAACTGATGTTCAAAATTGAGAATTTATGATTAATTTATTTTACGATGCCGATGAGTGACTTTTCCGAATATGTATTTGATTTTTTTTTCTAATGATTGGTCATAGTCATGATAGAGTTCTATGTGGTTGTAGCGCGGTCTGGCAGGTGGAAATGCACGGCGAGGGGCGCGAGGTGGCGGCGCGGAGCCAAGCGAACAGGAGGTGCTCGGCGTGATGATGCGCGGGCACGACTCCATGATGGCCGTGCTCACCGCCAGACAACGAGCTCTACAGGTAATTTCTAAACTAGATTCAATTTGAGGTTGGTAATCAAGCTCAAATTCACAAAGTAAGTAACGAAATTAAAAAGATTTTTTTTTAATAAAAATTATAAAACATAAAGATTAAGTTTAGTTACAATACACAAGTAGACGTGCCCTTGCCTTTTCTACAACTACCCTTGGGCATTACTGCAAACCAAATAATGCTGAACTCATCTCAGCAGTCGCAAGTCGATTAACATTTGTCACTAATCGAGTAAGCAATCTTATACCGTGTTTTTTTTTTTCAGATTTTCCATTCCGTCCGAGTTAATAAAAGTCTGAGATCTGCATTAGAATCTGTTATCGCTCTCGAGGATACATCTGTGATACTCGACATCCTCAATGTTATGGCACATAGACCGTAAGTAATACCTATAGATACAATCGCTGCACATAAAAATGTCAATGTTAATAACAAAAAATCAATGGTAACTACAATTTTTTGTTTCAGATCATTGTGGAATTTAGACATCTGCTTGTTAATGCTACCCAAGATATACGAATTATTACAAAGCAAATATGAATCGTATGTATTACTCACAGACTGCATATTTTTAAATATCCTACACCCAACACTAACGAATATTTTTGTTTTCTAGATACATGCAATGTGGCTGCAATGCCTTGAGGCTGATAGTGCGCAACTTCTCGTCTGTAGTAAGAGCTAACGTAAGTGCTCCAGTACGTACGTTGGGTGTAGACATTCCTCGTGAGGAGCGGTATTCTAAATGTATGCAGATACACCGGCTCCTGCTTGACGTACGGGCTTTTCTGCTCAAACGACAAACGCTCCAGGGGCGTCTTGGAGCTGCCTTCAGAGATCTTCATAACCTAATGCAACAAGGTCTTGACTGACATGCTTTTATTATATGTCAGACAAGTAAAACTCAGAACTGACAACTTATTTAACTTCCTATGCTAGGTACTAATATTGTTTAATCTTCATAATATTTTCTCACCATTGACATAAGCAGATTTAGAACTAAAAATCATACATACAATACAGTCACTTGTAATATTTATTAACAATAAAGTATAATAATATCAACATTTTTTTTATTTCTTTTTAACCCCTTTTTTTCTATGCTATGGATTATGGATATATTTTTATCTTGCGATGGAAATCCTCATGGATTTCCCACGTCGTAGGGACGACAGGGACGAGCGACATGAGCGTGCCGGACTCTTACCGGTTAAAATCACCGCGGTGTGGAGGATCCACTGCCTGTGACCGTGGCCCGGGATACCCTTACAGAATCACCACACCCGGCAGGCCGGCACACGAACTATGTTTGCGGCAGGTCCCGCCACGTTAGCGGCCCTGGGAGACTGCTTCCCTTCCTCAAACGGTGCATGTGGAACAATATGCTAACACGGTAACGCCTACTCCCGCCTATACAGCGGACAACTGACTCCCCTTAGTCAGTCATCCGCAGGCCTCTCCTATGGAGGTCGCTGATCGGCTGTTGCCTCACGGCGGTAGGGGAGAGAACTTGTCGCCTCCCTCTCACTCGGCCACTTCCTTTCCCAACATAAAACCCCTAAGCTGTGTGTAAGCAGAGATACACATTATCAATGGACCATACCTTGAGCATGAGCCCATGTGATAATTAATACTTATTTTTCCCCATGTGAGAAGACTCCGTATGCAGGATTTTAATTAGGAAATTTATAGGCTGGTGACGAATTACTAATATTTCCTACTACCCCCTCCCTGCCCTTTCTGATTATTGCTGCACCCTGCACCCCTCTCCCCTTGTTGAGAACAACCTGTAGAAGGTTATAAATGGATGGGCTCTAACTAGTTATATAGTGGAAAGCAAACAAAGTACCTATGTACATGACTAACTATTTACTCAGGAAAAACGTTAATGAAATTGAGGATTACTGCAGTTTTTGGGAGTTCTACATAGGTTTATTTTATATGGGACAAGCCTGCCACTACCTCCTCAAACGGCTGCAACTCCTGTAAGCCAGGATCTACAGTAGATACAACCCTTAAAAACACTGGAAGTCCGGCGTGCGGGACATGAATAACTGTCTTGGATCCCGCAACGAAATAAATCAGAAGACATCAATAATAGAGAAGAAAAAAAATCGAGTTTCCACTTCCCTCAATGTAAGAGACAGAATAACTTCAGTCTAAAAGCACAACTGGAAGAAGCCCAGCCGATAAGCACCACGGAATATTTGACTAGACTAAATAGGTCTGAGCTGTTTGAAATTTTGAATGTCCAAATCACACAACATTTACTATAATAATAAAGAAATCGCAGTAAGGAATCTTCGACTTGGCACGACTTGATCTAGACTTCATTTAGAGATGAACAAGTGCCTCCATCTAGACGGCTACTTTTTATAGAATTTTTTTATTTGGATATCTTATACTATTATCTATAGCTAAAGAGTTTGTTTGGACACACTAATCACCAGAACTACTGGTGAATTTGAATACTTTACTTTGTGTTGGATAGTGAATTCGGCCCAGAAGACGATAGACTATATAACATCACAAGTGAAACAACACAGGAGTAGTTAGTTAGTATCAAATAAAACAACTGGTATTCTGTTATTATTATTATTATTTTTCAGTGTACAGATACACCTTAAAACATAGTTCTTGAGGAGAGATAGGTATTTATTTCACTCACAAGTATAATAGAGTATACCTATTTAAGTCATATTGAAATAATATTTACAATGTCACACAAAGAGTATCTACTTAAATTAAGTATAGTGTTCTTTGAATGCACTTATATAATTATTATACAGTCTGTATAAAAGTGAACATTTACCATAATCACATATTAATTATTTACTTTTTTTCTCTTGTTGTTTCTTGCTTCACTGTCAGGATTTTGTCTCTTTTTATTGAACTTTTCCATTTTCTTTGCCAAAATTTCATCTGATACGTCTTTAACCATCTCACTACTTGGTTGTTCATTTTTATCAGCATTTTCTAGCTCCATAAGCCTCTCAATCTCCGGATTCATACCCTTGAAAGAGAGCCGGCCTTCAAGCATTGTATCACAAAATATGAAACTTGATTCAGATATGAAGTTCCCAGACGCACTTCTCATTTCATTTGTAATTATATTAGAGTACAAACTGCCATGATCTTGCATGTTTTCCATTTCTTTTTCTATTCGTTCTCTAGTTTTTTTCATGAATTTCATTTCCAGCACCGATTTGGGCAATTGTATCTTTTTAGTTTTTCCCGCCATCGCAATAAATTAAATTTTATTTCAAGTTCGAAATTTCAGCAAAAATGCACCTTGAACAGTTTAGTCGAATGAGGTTTTAAACTTTCCTTATAAATCCTTATCACAGCACGGATTTGTTACCTACTAATTAATTTTCGTACTAATATTTGTAGCAACCGTACAATTTATCCGCGCCGGAAAGTTCTTTAAATAATATGTCGTTTCACTTTCTTCGAAATTCACACACTTTCATAACATAACCTTTAATATAAACAAAATGTACAAGTGTCAATTTTGTCTTGTCATAAACAAAACTAGATATGTCATTTAAAATAAATATCGATATCGATATACTATACAAAACTTACTAAGATGTGGGCTTTCCTGACGCTGGATGCCTTTACACCTTTTGGATGATTTTGATTTATTTAACACTCGGGAAATCAGCAGCTATACAATTTGATAAAAAAAGAATGTTCAATGTGACATGCAAAAAAAGTCAATTACTGTCACAGACATAGTAATAGATAAGCAAACCCAACATTACCTAAAAATTTGTGAAGCCAAAAACACAGAAGCGCCATTTTATAGCTTAAACGGGGCCGGACTAAGGTCGGCATTAAAAATAAAGGACATTATTATTACACCTACATATAGATAAGCGTGTTTTTCGGATAAATAGTCAATATTTATAAATATTGAATAAAAATTCCGAAAGGAAGTATTTAGAAACTATACAAAATAAAGTTTTTAAAATTATTAAATCCTCTATAATTTTAATATCCTCTTTATAGAAAATGTAAAAAAGATTGCTTTTTTTAAAATAAATTTTTAATAAGGCAATTGTTATGATTAAGAATATCAGGTAATCCCCTCAATAACACTGACCACTCCCAAGACAAGTTCTTTCCAATAATTAAAAAACTATTTACTTAATTTAACTATATAATATATCACATGTAACATAATCTTTGAATGCACTGTTATGTAAAATATACCATACATAATTATTAGAACAATAAGTATGAAGTCATAAATTAATTATTTACTTTTTTTTCTTTTGTTACTTATTGCCTCACTGTAAGGATTTTGATTTTGTCTCTTTTTATTGAACTTTTCCATATTATTTGCAAAAAAATCATCTGATACATCTTTATCCATCTCACTGCTCCTTGGTTGTTCATTCTTATCAGCATTTTCTAGCTCCATAAGCCTCTCAATCTCCGGATTCATACCGTTAAAAGAAAGCCGGCCTTCAAGCATTGTTTCACAATATATGAAACTTGGTTCAGATATGAAGTTTAAAGACGCACTTCTCATTTCATTTGTAATTATATTGGAGTATAAATGGTGATGATCTTGAATGTTTTCCATTTCCTTTTCTATTCGCTCTCTTGTTTTTTTCATGAATTTCATTTGCAGCACTGATTTGGACAACTGTATCTTCTTTGTTTTCCCCGCCATAGCAAATTGGAAATTTGTGGTAAATTGCACCTTGGATAGAATTATTCAAACGAGGTGCGCACAGTTTTTAAATTTAGTAATCTATTAATTAGATTAATAAATTTCGTCGAAACCGTAGAATCTATACTCACGTGAAATTTCTTTAACAATTGTTTCACTTTCTTCAAACTTCAATATTTTATTCGTTGATTCCAAATGAGATCTTCACACAAAAAGTATTTTTTACGATCTTTACACGTCTGTGTTCGATACGAAAATGACCCAACTCGCACAAATTGCTTGGTTTATAAACACTTCTTTCCGCTCCGCCCGCTCCCCTCACCTTACTTACGTAAGGTAAGTGACGTTAGGTTGTAAGCAAGTGCACGTGTTATTTCCATGCAAGTTGTACGTGTTGTTTTTTATTGTTACACTGTTGATTTGAATATTATTACAATTTTAGTTACAACGTTACATTTAAGTAACTAAATTAATTTATATAATCTATAGAAATAAAAATGAATTTCCGTTCGTTGGTCTTGCAAAAACTCCAGAATGACTGAACCGATTTGACTAATTTCGGTCTTTAAAAAATTAGGTTGGACGAATTTTGCCGGGTCAGTTAGTAACAAATCATTACCATTAAAAATAAATGTAGGTAAACAACGATACTTCAATTTAAAATTACTTATTATTTAATCATAATTAATTGTCGTCGAGTCATCACAATTAATTACCTACTTATTTTTATTATTATAAAATTATTTTTATATTAATGTAATATTTGACAATTATTGGTAATTTAATAATTAATTCATTATTTGGTAATTATTAGTTATTTAATAATTAATAGATTATTTAATTAATTATTATTATGTCTTTACCAATCACGGAACCACATAGCCATTTGGCGTAAAAGGAGCCGATGCCAACTACGCAAAAGCCATGTATACATCTTTAATCTAAATGTACACAAATGGGATACAAACTGGCGACTATCTCAGTATGCACTAAGGAAACGCACCCAAGGACAGTTCCTGATTAGTGTAAAACTATTTAAGATAGTAAAAGAAAGGTAAGGCTATGGATGGGATGCTGTGGACTTGTAAACTAAACTGGAAAGTAGAAACTATGGGATGAGGGCACCTGCCAAACCAATTCTGTAAGCAAAAGAAATAAATGAAATAAATTCACAGATGGCTTAGTATAGACCTCGTTCTAGTAGACTTAGAGCCTAAATCTCAAGTTTATTCTAGAAAATTTGGAGATCCATGGAAAGCATGCTTAACTAATAATCTCAGGAGCCCTATGTTTGTTCTATTTGACTCAAAGGCTCAATAAACTTTATACATTCGCTATCACAGTTCATTTGATATATTATGGTTGTGTTGTGGACCGTATATTTTTTTTACCCTTCTAATCTGCCATCAACCGATTCGGTTTTAATCAGATGACGATTGTTATGTCACTTTGATGACAGCATTCGCACGAATAGTGTCTATATCTCTAAAAATAGTATTAGTAATACTATTTAGTAATACTGTATTACATCGAACGCACCTATTCGATATTGGGGTAGATCCTTGTTTACTTACCAGGAGCTCTAGTGGGGAATAACCAGTTGTCTTAGTTTTTTGTGCTATTTATTGTTAATTGTAATTCTCTTAATTTTGTAATCCAGACGGCTAAAGGTATTTTTAATGTTTTCATTATTCTTTATATTTGTCAATTACCTAGTTCCTTGTGCAATGAGATGATATTACCTTCTATCAAAGTGATATTTCAATCCCTATTATCGCGGATTCTCGCTCGGAGATGATTCTTCATGAAGTGCCAAAAAGGTGTACTTAATAATTATTGGAAACGTGTAACGTATAAAGACTAATTTTGTTAAAGCATCAGAGTCTCCGTGTGGATCCAGTCAAATTCCCCTTTAAATTCACATGGTATGGAATAGGGAAATGTGTGTGGTTTTTATCTACGGGATCGTGGTATATATTTGCGTTTTACTCATGTGTTATTTTCCGATTATGTATTGACTTTCCATTATGGGCCAGGTTCAATGTCTTGGAAGATCATATTTTTTTATAGATAGTACCTACTCATAAAAAGAAGGCTTTATATATTGTATTGAAGATTCTGTAAACCGATGTTTTTTTTTTCAATAAAAATAACACGCGATGTATAAAATACATTATCAATACATAGTATAAAACAAAGTCGCTTTCGCTGTATGTCCGTATGTATGCTTAGATCTTTAAAACTACGCAACGGATTTTGATGCGGTTTTTTTTAATAGATAGAGTGATTCTTAAGGAAGGTTTGTATGTATAATACATGCATATTGCACCCGTGCGAAGCCGGGGCGGGTCGCTAGTGTAGTAATAGTAAAGAGTCATAGAAGTGAACTTTAGGGTACCCCCGACGATAACAGACTTATTTTTACAATAGTTGTTGTTATACTTGTAATAGGTACCACGATTGTATACCTACTATGTATTAATTTTATCACAATTGCCTATTCATCATCATCATCATCAACAGCCGGAAGACTGAATTGCCTATTATTTTCAAAGAATATCATCATCTACTTGAAATGCTTAAGAATGTACAACAAAATTTAACATGCCGCTCGCTCGGACAAAATACGCAAAGAACTTGTTTTGTGAGTGAGTTAAGGGGATGGAGATGACTATTACCTACTTGATATTCTTAACGATAACGAGTGCCTTAATAGAAAAATATTATTCTCCCTTGAACGTGTTTTATTTAAAAAAGCAATATTTTATACATTTTCTATATTATGAGGATATGTCCTATCCTATTATGTCCTATTATGAGGATATTTATAAACCACATGTCATAGGGTTTTTAAATACCTTGTTTTGGAATTATATAAATTTCATAGGATTTTCATCTATTTCCGGTAACATATATACATAAAAATTATACTAAAAATGGATATTTTATCCTAAAAACATGGTATCTGGTACCTTATAATGTCGTTTAGTTCTAATGCCGACTTTAATACGGCCGCTTTTAAGCTATTATGCTTGCTATATGTCTGTTTTTTGGCTTCACATTAGCTAATATTTGGTCTGCTTCTCCTTGTATGTTTGTGTGCTATATTGGCGATGCAAAGATTATTCGCGCGCCTCTAGCGGCTAAATTTTAGAATTTGTCTAAGAACGACACTTTGCTTTCGAGTTGAGGTTATTAAGTTTAAAGATAATAAAATGGATCAATATTATTATTACATACAGAAACCAGTTTTCAATAAAAGCAGAAACGCAAAATATTGTTGCGTTCCTCAATATAATGCTTACGGAGATTCGGGAATAAGTTTTCATTTATTTTCAAAAGACAAAATTAAGAATCAAATAAATTTTCTTTCTGTATGTAAAGAGAAAAGATCAGCTGTAAAGCAATTAACCCTCTCAGATTTATTCAGCACTGATATGTATTTATTTACTTTTACGTGTATTCATTCAGTTGAACTTTTAGAAACAGTGTGTTAAGTAAGTGAATTGGCCTTAAATGGTCCAACAAACAAGAAAATGTTATCTGTGATGTGAGAGACAGTTATTTTGACAATGCTAAAAATAAAATAAAATATGTCATTTGGAGCCATTGGTGTTTTGTTTGGTATAAATAGGCAGATATGTTCTAATTATTTTAATAATATGTGCCCCATCCTGAGTAGAGTACTCAAAGTTCTTATTCCTTGGCCTGATACCGAAATGATATGTAGTAACTTAAATAAATCATTCCGAAAATATAAAAATATAAGAATAATATTAGACTGTGCTGAGACTGATTGAAAAATGTGAATGTTTAAAATGTAGAATATTGACGTACTCTCAATATAAAAAAACAATGAAGCGCAGTTTTATATTGGAATAAATACTTCTGGCCTAATAACTGAAATAAGTACATCTTATGACGGTCGAGTATCATATAAACATATTGTAAATGAATCAGGAATCTTAAATAAATGCGAGTTTAATAATGGAGTGATGGTGTATAAAGGATATAGGATTGAATTCGAGTGTAATGATATTACAGTTCATATCCTTAACTCACTTCATGTTATACTAATTATTCAGTAATAAATAGTATAACATTTGATTAATTTTGCAAGTTACTGAAATATTTATATACATAAATCTGATTTTTATTTAATAAATAGAACGTAAATATTTTAAGACAATTTTCAGTCTCGTTCTTAGACAGCTTCACAATTTTGACACTAGAGGCGCTAGTTAGAGGCGCTTTGCATCGCCACAACCTGTGGCGCGTTGATTTTCGTAAATAAATTGACATACTGCACATCTCAAATTCTACCCGTAGACAATAGTCGGACATCTGTATTATTATTATATCTAGATACATCGTCTTACTTTATGCAATGGTAACACAAAAGATACCTTTTTTTTTAAGGGGGGAAAATCATCGAATGACTGCTCCCGCCTGGGTGAGGCGGGAGGGAGTGTCAGACCAGGGCCGTCACACTTACAGCCATTGACAGCTTTAAAAATCGGACCGTCAGCTACATCTAGTTTTCGAACCTGAAATTAAATGTTGTCAAAACTTTTTTTTT